CTCCTTTTGTAGTTCAAGCTGACGCCAGTGACGTCGTGGTGGGGGCTGTGTTGCTTCAGTCTAATAGTCAAGGTAATTTGCAACCGTGCGCATACACCTCTCGTAAACTAACTGACACGGAAAGACGTTGGGCCATTTGGGAGAAATAAGCATTTGCTGTTCGCTGTTGTTGTTGGGGGCAATATGCTGACTCTGTAAACCGCTTAGAGAGGGCTGAAAGCCCTATGAAGCGGTATATAAGTCTAACTGCTATTGCTATTATCCATGACACGTCCTTCAGCTCTCCCTGCAGAAGTACTGCCTGCATCTGCTGTGGACAACTGTGGAAGGAATCCTGAGGTCTGCCAGCCGAGCCCTCCTCCTTCAGAGAAAATACATTGGATCTGTCCTGACCGAGGCTTCCCGACAGCATGAAGCAGATTCCTTGTCCCGACAAAAAACCCTTTTGTTAATTTGCTGTGAATTCTGCTCATTTGACACCCAGCAAAGTCTTTCAAAGGAGGATTTACGGTCACAGACCTTATCTGGCTTGGAGAGCTGCCAGGCCGCTCTCTGCAGAACTTGGCATGGAGTTTTGGAGAGTCAGGAACCAATTAAGCGAACTAATTGTCTCCTGCAAACTCCACTCCCCTGTCGCTCCTCTTTTATTTCCTCTGGGAGGGGCCATTCATTGTCCACCTGTGGCCTTACTCCCAAGTTGACTTTCTCTTTAGCTGTTCCCTTTATCTGGCAACTCTGTTCATGCGCACCCTGGGAACAGGCTCCAGCTGTTCTTCTGCCTCACTGATGTCCGACTCCGAAGGCAGCTGATAACTGGCATACGGCTCTGCCCCCCTCTCTGCCTCCAACACAGAGCCCTCACCGGAGCCTTCCCCAGACTCCAGGACTGGCCCATCTTCCTCCCCAACCTCCTCACTGTCCGAATCAGCTCCCAGCTCTGCTGGAGTGCCACAACCTGGTCCACCATCCAGATTATGGCAAATCCAGCAGGAGTCCAGCCCCACAGCTCATCAGGGGCTGGGACCTTCTTAACGCACAACCCATTCCTCCCAGCAGAAAGATTTCTTGCCCACAATTCAGACACTTGGGACACAAAACGCAGTGGGCTGGTCATCAAGTTACAATTTTATTTCTGTACAAGCCTCCTTCCTGAGTGACCACGGTCCGTCCTTCAGCTCTGCTTACACAGTAAACAAGCTTTTCAGTCCAAAACTGATAAAACCCAAAGGAAAAGAAAAACAAACACAAATGAAAACGGAAGAAAAAGAACCCCGTTCCCCCCAAACCAAGCGAAATAGTAACACTGAGAAAGGCTTAGCTAGCCGGACCCTTGAGGTCTGGGTTTACCCCTTCTGCCTGCCCCTCGGGGGGTCCTGAGCATCCGCCTGGTTGAAATGGAGTGAAATATGCAAAGGGGAGGGGGCATGGGGGAGGGGAAGGTTGTGGGAAAGCAGGCCGTGAAAACGGGCAGAAGAGGGTCCTTTGGGCTGCAAACCAAGGTGCCCGCCAAAACCGAGCTCAATGCTCTGCTTGATTCAAAACTGAGTTAAAAGTTGGCTCGGTGCTTTTTCAAAGCTTTGCGAGGGGTGGTGGATGAAAAGGGTGGGAGGTAATAAAAGAGGGGAGGGGGGTTTCTACCCAGCGAATGCTGCCTTGGTTGCAAAACCGTCAAGGTGCTAACTCTAACTCTCAGCCCTTCAAGTAGTGCCGGCTTCGGAGGTGGGCTGAAAAGTTGACCCTGCATGATGGGGGACGGAGAATAAATAAGAGGATTGGACGAGTTTGCAGATGCTGGCCAGCTGGCCCATCGAGGCCATCGCTCCCAAAGTGGCTCAACTCCCCCCTCCCCACACACTCCAACGAGGTGCGTTTTGGCGACTCCGCGGAACGCATGCAGCAAGAACCGAAATGAAAACCGAAATCAAAAGCAAATCCTCGTTCTGGAAAGGCAGTGAAAAATTGTCCGAAGCGTTCCTGAATTAGACCTCTGTCCCAGGACGAATGAGGGATGTGGCGAGGAAAAGTTGGGAGAGAGGAAAGCCGAGGGATTTGAGGCGGGTGTGTGTGTGGGTGTTTATACTTCTGCTGGTTGTGCCGTGTCCCTTTCCGAAGGGCACTTGGATCCACTGAAAACACAATCCCTCTGGCCTTTCGTCGGGATGCGTCTTAAGGCACAGTCGTGACAAGGAAACGGGTAGAATTGGATCCCGCCGAGTCTCTGCTCTTTGCGATAAAGTCCGTAAAAATCCATCCACGAATGCTTCCAGTTTGTAAAAAACCGCGAAACCAACAGCAGCCCCTACCCCACCCAAAGAGATAGGACTCGAAGTCCTGCAGAAAAATCCTTCGCACAACCCCCCCCCCCCCCGGAGGGTCGTGTGCAAGAGCTGTGCAAAAGAACCAAACACGCCTTGCCTGGTTCGAAGATGCAAAATCAGATTCCGTTATACTTTATCTAGTTCTGAAACTGGCGGCCGTCTGGCGTTGAACAGAGAGAAAACACCTCTGTGGCTCAGCTCCGACAAACCCCCACCCCCCAAGGGATCACAGGTTGCTCCCCCCCCCTCCTGGAAAGAGCAGCAGCTGTTTGTGGCTTATTGCACACCAAATTGTGGAAGGGGGTATGAGTGTGGGCGAAGAAGGGGAGAAGGGAGGGAAGGAAAACATAGAAACCATCCCTGAGAACCTTCCCCCCCGCTCCCCGCGGAGCGATGGAGGTAGCGTGGAAGCTGCCCACCAAGGAGGGTGTTTTCTCCCTGGTTTTCTCTGTCTCCAGTCCCGTGCGTGAGAGAAAGGCGTCCCGGTAAAAAACCGGCAATTGTAGTTAACGCTTTATTAAAAGCATTTTCTTCCTCCCTCCCTCTCTTTCTCTCTCTCTCTCTCTTTTTTTGCTTTTGCTTGTTTTTTAGGAAAAAAGGAGGGGAAAAACCCAGTTTAGAAAAAAAATCCCTCAAGTCACCATTGTCCTGGGTCTCCACGTGCCCCCCCACCCCCCCACCCCACCGCCCGCTCCCGATGCGTTTCTGAGCTGGTTTTCTTGGCTTGAGTCCCTCCTCCGGGATATTACGAGGACTCCTTTTTCGTGGGGGACGCGCGTTGGCAGAGCGGGGTAGGGGAGCGTGACCTGGGGGCTACATTCGGGAAGACGGGCTGGCCAGCTCGTAGAAGAGGAGATAGGCGTCGCTGCTGCGGAGGTGGCCCAGGGAGATCGGTGTGACGCTGCGGGAAGGACAGAAACAGAAGCGTTAAGAGCAATAGCAATAGCAGTTAGACTTATATACCGCTTCATAGGGCTCTCAGCCCTCTCTAAGCGGTTTACAGAGTCAGCATATCGCCCCCACAGTCTGGGTCCTCATTTTACCCACCTCGGAAGGAAGGAAGGAAGGCTGAGTCAACCTTGAGCCGGTGAGATTTGAACAGCCGAACTGCAAATAGCAGTCAGCTGAAGTGGCCTGCAGTACTGCACCCTAACCACTGCGCCACCTCAGCCTAGAATGAGGGAAAGAAAGAGAGAAAGAAAGAAAGAGCAAGAAGGAGAAGGAGAGCGAGCAAGCTAAATACCGTTTCCAGATGTGCCAGAGGTGAGAGAAGGCACCCAGGGAAATGTGAATGTGAGCGAACATCTGATTTTATGTGCCGAGATCTCTGGGCAAAGCCAGGGCTGATGGCCTCTGCCAGAACAGAGAGATTGCCCCCCCCCCCTGCTCCCCGAGTTCATTTCTGGATGATCTGGGGAGGGGTGGAATCAAGGCGAGAGGCGCACAGACCCTCCGGCCTCTGGAGCCCCCTTCCTTCCGCTCTCTCTGGCCGGCTGGGCGGCTGCACGGCAGAAAGAGGCTTTCACGGCCTCCCATACAGGCCGC